TTTTGTAATTTAATTTTATTGCCACCTGTTTGGGACTGTTAGAATAATCTGTTGTTTTCCTATAAATAATCTTGATAGTAACTTTGAGGTAACAGATGTTTTCTGAGATTCTTTCAAGTATTAGTTTGAAAAAAGATTTGTGAAAGGTACAACATAAATTTTAAATTATTAATGTTCCATTGGGTAAAAACAGATTAAACAAAGGTGATACAGTTTAAACTGAAACTTAGGTAAAACATTAAGTTCTTTAAAACTTGAAAATGTAAAGTTCTAAGAATAATAAAAACTGAGGAAATCAAGATGATTGGAATAGATAAAATAAAGAAGATATATTAACTTTTAATTCATAAAAGGACATAAGGTTTTTCTTTAAAATGGACAAAATTTCATTTATTCATTTAATAAATATTTATTGAGCGCCTACTGTGTAATATGAATTTATGCTTCTGGGCTTTATCTATTACTCCCCTTTCCTACCTGTTCATCAGCACATACTTTTACCTAACTGCTAAAATTATTTGCACATTTTCTTTAATCAGACAAGTAAATTAAATGGCATTACTTCATAAGACTTCTGTCCCACATACATATTTTTTTGGCCATGTACTGGAGACACTTTCATTGTCACACCTATATATAAAGCTCCAGGTATTCCAAATCTATATCCTCCATCTAGAGAAAATTATTAAAGAAAAGCAGATTAAGTATTTTCAATAATCTTGTTAGCAAGTAAGCTATAATTTTAGTTTGCCATAATGCATCACATTACTCCCCATATTCTGCCGTGTGTCTTTAGGTGTTCATATTTTTATCATGCTAATTGCATATTGCTTTGCTGAATTGCTCATGAAATACTTTCACATGAAATCAGTCCAGAGTATTTATGGACCATCTACTATATAACATTATTTAGGAAGAAGACACTGTCACTGATACTTTATTTTATTTTAAAATTATTTTATATTTAGCTTTTATAATCTCTTTTAGAATATTTGTAGAATTGATAACTATTATTTTTTCTTATTATGTAGATGGAAGTGAAAACGTAACAGGATTGGATCTTTCCGATTTCCCAGCGTTAGCAGACCGAAACAGAAGGGAAGGAAGTGGTAATCCAACTCCATTAATAAATCCCTTGGCTGGAAGAGCTCCATATGGTAATTACATTTTAAAAATGTTGTCCAGTAGAAACTTTACAGTATATGCATACAGGCATATGTTTGTTGGCATAGTTTGTTAGCACTAGGCTGCTGACTGAAAGGTCGGCAGTTTGAATCTGCCCACACTGCCCAGCAGCAGGAAGGTAGGGTTATCTGCTTCTGCAAAGATTTATAGGCATGGAAATGGAGCAGATTTATAGCCGTGGAGCAGATTTTCATTGTCACACAGGGGCCTTATGGGTCAAAATTAACTAGATTGCTGTGGGATTATATTTATATAAATACAGATGTATATAATGTCATAAAAATTGCTGAAAGAAACTTCATTTGTCCAGAGACCCAAAATGAAGTGCTTATTGATACTCAGAAATTTTTATTTCACTGCTTTGAAGGAAATAGCAAAAAGTAAGGCCCCAGGAATAGATGGTATACCAATTGACGTATTTCAACTAACAGATGCTGTCCGGGATGTGCTCACCAAGTTGTGCCAAGAAGTCTGGAGAACAGCCACTTGGTCAACTGATTGGAAGAGATCTATATTTGTTCCCATTCCAAAGAAGGGTGACCCAGCAGAGTATGGAAATTAGAGAACAATATCATTGATTTCACATGCAAGCAAGATTCTGCTGAAGATTATCCAAAAACAACTGAAACAGCACGTCAGCAGAGAATTGCCGGAAGTCCAGGCTGGGTTTAGAAGAGGTTGTGGTACTGGGGATATTGTAGTTAATGTTAGATGGATCTTAGCTGAAAGCAGGGAATACCAGAGGAATGTCAATCTGTGTTTCATTGATTATGCAAAGGCGTTTGACTGTGTGGATCATAATAAACTGTGGCTGACTCTGAGAAGAATGGGAATCCCAGAACACTTGATTGTGCTAATGTGAAACCTGTACTTGGACCAAGAGGCAGTCATCAGAACAGAGCAAGGAAACACTGCGTAGTTCAAAATTGGGGAGGGTGTACACCAGGGATGTGTCCTATCTCCATACCTTTTCAACCTATATGCTGAACGGATTGTCTGGGAGGCTGGGCTCTATGAGGAAAACTGTGTTATCAGGATTGGTGGAAGATCCATCAACAGTCTGCATTATGCAGATGACACAACCCTGCTTGCTGAAACTGAGGAGGACCTGAAGCGCTTGCTGCAGAAGGTCAAAGACTGCAGCCTTCAATGTAGATTGAGGCTCAATATCAAGAAGACAAAGATTCTCACCACTGGACCAATTGGTAGAATCAGGATTGAGATTGTTCACAGCTTTAGTTTCCCTGGCTCCACAGTCAACACTCTTGGCACCAGCAGTCAGGAAATTAAAAGACGTATTGTGATGGGAAAGTCTGCTATGAGGGACCTTTCCAAAATACTGAAGTGCAATGGTGTCTCTCTGGAGGCAAGGTGCACCTGATAGAGGCCATGGTCTTTGCAATCAATTGTTATGTGCCAGAGAGTTGGAAAATGACTAGGGAGGATAGGAGAAGTGATGCCTTTGAGCTGTGGTGCTGGAGAAGAGTATTGAATGTACCATGGACTGCTGAGAAAACAAACAGTTTCATCCTTGAGAGGGTTTAAAAAGGCTGCTCCTTGGAGGCAAGGATTCGGAACCTTCATCTGACATACTTTGGACCGGTCCTTGGAGAGGATCTTCATGTTTGGGAGGGTGGAGGGACAGCGCAGAAGGGGAAGACCCTCTGTGAGGTGGATTGATTCAGTCACTGGCATAATCGGGGTGGATGTGTCAGAGACAGTGAAACTAGCACAGGAAAGAGCAGTATTTAGGGCTGTTGTACATAGGGTCACTATGAGTCGCAAGCAACTCGACAGCACATAAAACAAACTTGATTATTTGTGGTCTGTGTTTTCTCTTAAATCACATGTATTTTAAAGACTACATCTGTGCTGATCACACATTCAAGATTTTTTTGTTAAGGTAAACTTTCTCAACTTCTATTGACATGTCCTATTGATGTTTTGGATTGCGTATTTTTTTGTGTTGGGAGGCTGTTCTGTGCATGGTTAATGTTCAGTAGCATTTCTGATTTTTGTCCATCAGATGCCAGTTAGCACTACTAATTTACAGTGTCTGTCAGCACTGGCAAATGTTCCCTGGAAGAAATCTTGTTATTTGCTGTCAATTTGGAACCAACTCATAGCTGACCCTGCTGCAAGTTTTCCAAAGCAGAAGAAATTGCCCATCTTTCCTCCATGGAGCAGGTGGTTGATTCTTGGGTTGGCAGTGCAGCTCATTACCACTAGACTGCCAAAGCCACCTGAGGGAAATAGTACAATTATATTGCCCCTCCCTCCTTGTTAGTTGCTATTCATGAACCATCTATAGTTTGTATAGCTCCTTGGTGAGAATTAATGTCCTTCATCATCTTTGTTCTCTGCCTCTAAATGTTAAGAAGTTTGATTAATAGTGAAATGAAAAGATAGAGGTGGGAAATGACTGTGTAAAAAGAGCAAGATCCATGTGGGAATGGCCATATCTGACCTTTACCAACCTCACAAAGGGCACTTGTCACTGTCAACAGCATCAGTAGTACTAAAACAACTCCCAGGAGGTCACACATGTCCCTAACACTCGTATCTCTTTCTGTTCATCTCAGCACCAATTTTACTGCTTTGCTGGGTCCAAAATCTGATCCAGTAGCTTACAGACCACACAGAACCAAATTGGGGAAGTCAAAAGTTATAATGTAGATTAATAATGCAACTCAGTCAAGATAGCACCCAAAATGTGTACACAGGCACTTCAGCCTCAGTCCTCACGGTTTGGTGCTCTCAAGTTCTCAGTGCTGCCCTCCCAGTTGTCCAACACAGTTCTGCTACTATAGACTCTCCCTCCACCATAGTCCCATCTCACATCAAGTCTCCAGTTTGGCTGTAGCTGGTGCTGCTGTAGAAGTAGCTGTCTTGCTTTCTTTTCAGTAGTGCCAAAAGATCTGTCTGTTTCTCACTCTGGTTTGCTCAATTTGTGGCAAGACTGTCCAGCACCCTTGTGGAATGGTAGAAAGCCATACCCCTTGTGGATAGGCTCACATGCCCACTTATATATTCCTGCTCATCGACATAGCATCCACCCTCCTTAATACAATAATTATTTCAGCATAATACAGTTAATATTTTACAAACATCCAGTCTATACCATAAGTACTCAAACAGGAAAACAGTAGAACAGCAATGTCAATGCTCTCTATTTTTATCCATTTTATCTAGTTTCCTTTGAGGAAAATCTGATAGGAACCATTACAGAAACAGTGAACTTAAAGAATAGAGGGCTCTGGCTCATTGGTTTTTCTAAGCTATTTTCTAAGAATTTTTTTTTCTTTTTTTCAGCTAATAAGTGTTTTTATTATGCCAAATGTGAAAAGAAAAAATATATGCTGGGAAAATTTACTGGTTCATATTCTGACTTTCCAAATTAGTGTTCCTTAAATAACAAAAATATCTGCTCTGGAGGTTGAATACCTAACTACTTTATTCTTGGTTCAGATTCTAACATTTTTTTTTAACCTTTCATCATAGGTCCCTTTTTTCATCCCCATTATCACGTCTGTTGCTCTCTTGAAACATCTCAAGTATCTTCATATATATGATTTCTTAAATTGTGTATAGCCACAATTGGGTTTTTTAAATTTTTCTCAGTAAGGCCTTACTAATCCCTAGTGGAAGAATTATTACTCAGATCTTAAGTGTTTTACATCTATAAAACGGAATCCAAAAAAGGTGAAATAATACGGAGTAGTTGTATAATTTATTTCAGTTTGTTGACTTTGTAAGTCACTTTCAAGTAGAATATTGACATGCTCTTTTTAACTTCTTTGTGTTCATTTCGTTTTGCTTGTTACTGAGGTTTATAAATATCTAGTCAAATACTCAAAGTAAGCAAGTTACTTAGAATTTTTAATTATTACCTATATAAAATCATTAAATATCTTTATAAAACATTATAGGCTCTCATAGCATAGTCCGTCAAGTGTCCCATTCATTTCTAGGGGTTCAAATTCACCATTGACTCCACAAAAGAAAGATGGGAAACTTGGAAAACCATGGGTCCAGCTGACAGGGACTACAATAAATTATAAACTTGGGCAACCCAGTGGAGCTTTGCTATGAATTATATTGACTTGATGGCAGTGAGTTGATTTTTAAGGAGCTCAGATTGTGTAATCTGTAGTGAGTTAAGCTGCTAAACAAGAGACGCTGTGTTTCTGGTGACTTAATTCCACCAGTAATTCCATAGGAGAAGGATGAGCAGTTTACCCTGTAAAACTTTGAAAATGTTCTGGAACACTACTGTAAGTTGGAACCAACTCAGTCACATAGAGTTGAGTTGTATAACCTTAGTTGTATAACAGGATTACCACTTCTTTCCTTTGTATTATTTTGTATAATGAGATGATAAGTATATGATATTTATTTCTTCATTATTCTGAATACTAGGTTTTTAGTACATTTTAATTTTTTTAAGTACACTTATAGGATTAAAAATATCTTCTGTATATTATGAGGCAAGTTAAATTTTTATAAATGGTAACAAAAATATCAATTGTCATTCTTTGGGTTATTTTCATTACATAGTTGGAATGGTAACGAAGCCAGCAAATGAGCAATCCCAGGACTTTTCAATACACAACGAAGATTTCCCGGCATTACCTGGTTCCAGCTATAAAGATCCAACATCAAGTAATGATGACAGTAAATCTGTAAGTAACTGAGTATTGTGTAAGTGAGTGGTGTAGATTTTTCTCCTCAGATTTCTAGTATAATATTTTTATTGACTGTGTAAAGGAGTAAATAAATACTATTATAAACTGTATATCTTTGAAAATCAATAATAATCTAACTTCTGAAGAATGTGGAAAACCTTTCTTTATAACATAGAAGGTAGCCTATGTTTTTCCTATTTCATATAGGTGTGTCAATTTCTGTTGAACTTCTCAGAGTTAATTTAGACTTTTATTGTAGTCCCTGTCAGCTGGATCCCATGAAGTTTGATATTATAGCCTTCTAAGGAGCTGTATTTTTCTTGAGTAAGTTTTCTCCTTGAAGAATCTTTATACACATTTTTATTCCTGTGTTGATTCAGCCAACTCAGCTTCTTTTTTTCTAATTTAATGATTGTATTTACTTCTTCCACATTTCACTGAAAATAGCAAAAAGAGAAAAAAAAAAGTTTGTATATAATTTTTAAAGTAATTGATAAGTAAAATTGTTGGGTAAGAATTAAAATAAGTATAAATTAAGAAAGTTCAAATACTCTAATTTATCTTGAAGGTCATTATAGTAAAATTTTAGATAAGGTACTATATTTAGTTTCTATTCTAAAATGAAAGTGTTGAAGAGTTTAATGTCATGTTTATCCCAAATATAAAGTCCTAATATCTATACATGCCTATATATTTAAAATATGTCTGTATGTACGTTGTGTATGTGTGTGATTTGCCCCCCCCATAACTGAAGGTCTGAGATGTTTTTCTTGTCCTTTAAATACTCAACTATAAATGATAAAGGATTTGTATACCCTGAGACAGTTGTGGAAACAAAAGAATTTCATGTAATACTTGAAAAACAGGCAATAATTTACTACCAACTATAATAGAAAAAAAAGATAAATAGTTTGAATATGGGTAGTAAATTATTACCTGTGCTTGAAAAATAGCTAATAATTTACTCCCAACTGAAATGGAATAAATATCAGAGCCTGAGTATGTATACTTGAATTTTTACACCTTAAATTTAATGTCTTTTCTTTCTTTCTTTTTTAATGTGTTAGAATTTGAATACATCTGGCAAGACAACTTCAAGTACAGATGGACCCAAATTCCCCGGTGATAAAAGTTCAACTACACAAAATAATAACCAGCAGAAAAAAGGGATCCAGGTGTTACCTGATGGTGGGACTCTATACATTTGTCAATAATATTATAAAATACATTGTCTTTACTTTTCCTCAAAGATAAAAAAAGACTGTATTCTTCTTATCCAGGTCGGGTTACTAACATTCCTCAAGGGATGGTGACGGACCAATTTGGAATGATTGGCCTGTTAACATTTATCAGGGCAGCAGAGACAGATCCAGGAATGGTACACCTTGCTTTAGGAAGTGACTTAACAACATTAGGCCTCAATCTGAACTCTCCTGAGTAAGTTTTACTTTTCTACTCCATTTGTATAGAATTTTTTTCTACAAGTTTATTGTTTTTAATCTCTTATTGTCAGTCACTCATTGTTACTGTCATCTGCTCAACCTTAGAGTCATCCACCTTAATATTAGCTCCCAGATTACAGTCAAGCTCCAGTATTTACTATTGTCATAGTTTGGCATTTTAATTTTATTTTAATAATGATGCTTCCAAAATCCTATAAGCTTCTTGAATTTTTCTCCTCCAGTAATTTTCTTTTGCTCTCCCTCAGCAACTTACTTCTATAGTCATACTTTTGACCACTACATATAAGAACTTGAAATCCTTTCATAATTTTAAGTTTGGCCCTCCCCTGCTCACTGATCACTCTTGTCTCCTTCTCATACTATGATTCTAATAATCATTTGATTCCATTGAAATCTTTAGTGTATTGGTTATTTTATCTTTTCATTGTTCCTCAGCATTCTACTCCTTTTATCCCCATAGTAAATAACACTGTGCTCTTACTCATTTGAATTCTGTGGTCAATCATAATTTCCCCTTATGTATATCCTTGACACCTCTACATTCTCTCACTTTATCACTATAGTACTTCCATTGCAAAAACCACTACCTAGTTGAATCTCTGCTTTTCCATTAGTACCTGATTGTACTTCAGATTCATGGCCAAGACTTTAAGTGGGCCTACTCCATTCACTCTCTTAATGCAAATGTTTTATACTTACTTAATGCTTGATATCTTCTTCCCTATTATCAGATAGGAATAAACCTTTTTTCCGTTCTCCCTTATTTTCAATTAATTTCCACTTATTTGGTGATAAAATCCTTCCACCAACTCTTAATTACTTGTTACCATCTTTACCCAATTCATTCTTGTCTTTTAGTGTATTACCATAGCTGATCCATGCTTCCAATTTTATGATTTCTTAAAATTCAACCTCATGGTTCTAACAATACACTATTAACCTACATCCCTACTTTTTTTTTTTTTTTGGCATCATTTCTATCAGCAACAATCAGGTGTTTCTTTCATCTTTTTTATCTTTTAAAACTTGCTATTGATTCCGCTTCCCTCTTTAGTAGTTTCTGTCCAGTTAGTTTATTCTACTTTGAAACAAAAACTAATCAAGAATCATCTCAGTATCTCTAAATTTTCTTTTCTAATGTGCGAGGAGCTAGAGTTGGAAAATCAAAAGGGCTGTACTTGTTCAGCATTTCTTAAGCTCAAGGAACTGAAGAGCAAATTCAAACCTCGAGTTGCTACAATCAAGGATGCTTTAGGCAGAATGTTAAATGATCCGGGAGGTATCAAAAGAAGATGGAAGGAATATACTGAGTCATTGTACCAAAAGGAATTGGCAGATACAGAAGCATTTAATGAAATAGCATTTGAGCCAGAGCCTATGGTGATGAAGGCAGAAGTTCAAGCTGCTTTGAAGGAAATAACAAAAAATAAGGCCCCCAGAATAGATGGTATACCAATTGACATATTTCAGCTAACAGATGCTGCCGTGGATGTGCTCACCAAGTTGTGCCAAGAAATCTGGAGAACAACCACTTGGCCAACTGACTGGAAGAGGTCAATATTTGTTCCCATCCCAAAGAAGGGCGACCCAACAGAGTGTGGGAACTACAGAACAATATCATTGATTTCACATGCAAGCAAGATTCTATTGAAGATTATCCAAAAACGACTGGAACAGTACATCAGCAGAGAACTGCCAGAAGTCCAGGCTGGGTTTAGAAGGGGTCGTGGTACTAGGGATATTGTAGCTGATGTTAGACGGATCTTAGCTGAAAGCAGAGAATACCAGAAGAATGTCTATCTGTGTTTCATTGATTATGCAAAGGCATTTGACTGCGTGGATCATAACAAACTGTGGCTGACTCTGAGAAGATTGGGAATCCCAGAACATTTAATCGTGCTAATGCGAAACCTGTACTTGGACCAAGAGGCAGTCGTCAGAACAGAGCAGGGCAACACTGCATGGTTCAAAATTGGGAAGGGTGTACGTCAGGGCTGTGTCCTGTCTCCATACCTTTTCAACCTGTATGCAAAGCAGATTATCTGAGAGGCGGGGCTCTATGAGGAGAGGCGTGGCATTAATATTAGTGGACCATCTATCAACAATCTGAGTTATGCAGATGACACAACCTTGCTCACTGAAACTGAGGAGGACCTCATGCACTTACTGCAGAGGATCAAGGACTGCAGCCTTCAATATGGACTGAGGCTCAATGCCAAGAAGACAAAAATTCTCACCACTGGACCAATCGGTAGCATCAGGATGGATGGTGAAGAGATTGAGATTGTTCACAGCTTCAGTTTGCTCGGCTCCACGGTCAACACTCTTGGCACCAGTAGCCAGGAAATCAAACGTATTGCGATGGGAAAGTCTGCGGTTAGGGACCTCTCCGAAATACTGAAGAACAACAGTGTCTCTCTGGAGACTAAGGTCCGCCTGATAGAGGCCATACAATCACTTGTTATGCATCAGAGAGGTGGACAATGACTAGGGAGGATAGGAGAATTGACGCCTTTAAGCTGTGGTGCTGGAGAAGAGTATTGAATGTACCATGGACTGCCAAGAAAACAAACAGATTCATCATAGAGAGGATTAAACCAGGCTGCTCCTTGGAGGCAAGGATTCTGGGGCTTCGTCTGACATACTTTGGACATGTTGTAAGGAGAGACAGGTCTTTAGAGAGGGACATCATGCTGGGTAGAGTAGAGGGACAGCGCAGGAGGGGAAGACCCTCTATGAGGTGGATTGATTCAGTGACTGGGGTACTCGGGATGGGTTTATCGGAGGCAGTGAGATTGGCACAGGATAGAGCACGGTTTAGGGCTGTTGTACATAGGGTCACTATGTGTCGCAAACGACTCGACGGCACATAACAACAACAACAACAATCCTCTTTTAAACCCATGTCGGTCTGGATTTTGCCCTTGCCACACAACTAAAACTGCTTTCATCTAGGTCAGTTCCATGTTACTAAATTCAGCCAAAAGGATTATCTGGCATAAATGAATCATTGCTTCCTCCTTGATATGCGTTCTTCACTTTAGGGGTACTTTTTATTATTAGGTAATAGTTTTCCTTGTCTTACTGATTAGATTTCTTCTAATCATACTGCTTTTTTTTTCTTCCTTTTTGTCAGTATTTTCTACATTCACTTCATTATGGATCTTTTCTACTCTCATACTTTAAAACAGGGCCACATAATTAGTATTTTCAGTACATACTTCTCTTCTAGACTTGAGATTTCTAGATAAAGTTGCTAACTAGGCATGTGTTTCTCAAGCCTGCTTGATGTTTTCCAAGCCTCCTCTTCCCCTTGCCCTGTTTCTTTTATGATGTTCTACATCCTGTCTTTTTCTAATATATGTACACCATTCTAATACATGTACATATTACTATTTTTAAGTAGTATATTGCCACTTTGCTTTAAATCTTTGTTTGTTACTTGAATTTACAGCATTAGCCAATGTTTTTGATTCTCTCTTTGTGCCCTCTCATATAGTCCTTTATACATGTTGCAACCAGGGCTCTCCTTTCAAAATAGTTACTCCTTTGCTTAAAACTTAGTAAGATTTTGGAGTTCAATTCTGATTAAAACCCTGAAGTCTTTGTAGTGGTCCACAAAATCTTGCATGATCTGTGTCTTCCACCTCCTCTCAACTCAGCATCTTCCCTGGCTCCACATCCCCTTGGTTTAGGGTGCTGTAAGGTCAGTGTCATCCTTTTCCTCCCAATATGCCAGTTATGACCATCTTAATTGCTCTACTAGTTCCCCCAACTTGAAAGCTCTTCTGCCAGATAACAATATGATTGTCACCCTCAACATTTCTTAAAATCTGACCTCTTAGTGAGACCTAGGCATACCCATCTTATTTAATTATGTAACCAGTATCCTTGCTCATCTCTCTACTAACATGGAATTTGTTTTTATATGTATGTATTCATTCTGCTCCTGTAGTAAGCTCCATAATGTCAGGAATCTTTTTTGTTCATTGATACATATCCAACACCAAGACCAGTACTAAACATGTAATTGTCACTCAGTAAACATTCAGTAAATTTGAATATTTTCAGTAATTACAGATTTTTCTTTAGAGACACAACTGAGAAAATTATTTAGAAGCATGATGTTAATGATTTAAAAACATAGCGAATGTAATTATATTAAAAGTGGAAACTTTTACATCTTTTGTTTGCATTTTGTGATACACTCATTTTTTATACTGCTTTACAAGAATATTGTGAAGCAGTATTTTATTTTCGTATTTGTATGTTGAACTTTGTTTCCTGCTGTGTAGGTCATAGTAAATCCAAATAAAAGGAAATTATAATATGTTCATTTTATATTTGAAGTCACTGTTTTGCCTGATTTTCCGGAAATAAAATTAGAAATCTTTTTTTTTTTCCTTTTTTTTTCCTACTTTGGACTTCAGAGTGTTTTTTTTTCCTTATTCAGAAATCTCTATCCCAAATTTGCATCACCCTGGGCATCTTCACCTTGCCGACCTCAAGACATAGGTAGGAAACTTTGTGTTCACATCTTTTTAAAAGATATTTCTAACTGAAATTCAGTTAATAAGGCTTTTTTCATTTTATTATCTAGACTTCCATGTTCCATCTGAGTACTTAACGAACATTCACATTAGGGATAAGGTGAGTGTAGTTTATTATTCTACTCAGTCAGCATGAATATCTTTATTTTTTTAGGTGCTGTTTTTTACATCAGACAGCAAAATATTTTTGAAAAAATTAACAGTGTTCTTAAGGAATGCTTTATTAAGTCCATTCAATTATATATGACAAGTTTTATTTGTTTTTGTTAATGATATTATTTTAATGATGTAGTGGGGTTATACTTTTAAAATAAACAAATGTTAGAAATGGCAAAATATTTTTGTGGTACAACTGTGCCCACAGTCACTAGAAATAGTTATATACCTTCCTTCTTTGCATTTTACACACACACACACACACACACACACACACTCACACTCAATGTTGTGTATCATTGAGTTGGAAACAAACTGTAGCTGACCCTCCATTGGATTTTCAGATGCTGTAACTAACTGCATGGGAGGAGATTGCTTCTTCTCCTCCCACAGAGCAGCTGGTGGATTTGAACTGTGTGCCTTTGGAATTGCAGCCCAGATTCTTAACCATTAGGCCGCTATATACGTGTGTGTGTCTGTGTGTATATGTGTATAAACAAGCCATTTATGAATTTCAGCTTGTAGGTTTTTTTAAATTACCTAAATTACCTATTTTAAGTAACTACTAACAATAGATTTGCACTATAATCTGTTTTTTCTGAGAAAAAAATGGTAAATAGTTTTGATTTAGGAAAGAACTAAAAGTGTTCTTTTCTATTTGAGGGGAAAAATACATAGTGATATCTAGATTTTAGCCTTTGGTAGGAAATAATTTCTAAGGAAAAATTGTATTTTTCATAAATATATGTACATATAAAATTTATAAACTACAGTTTGAGCCTGTGCCGTAAAGATATATAATTAAGGGGACATTTATCTTGTAGACAGGAGTAAGGGGATGCATTTCTCATGTCTTTTACTATTTCAGTAGATGGAAAGCAAGAAATGGGAGATATAGTAGGACAATTTTTTCTAGTTTATGACTTGTTCAACCTGTTTCTGTTTTGCTCCTAAGTGTGCTCCTATGTGTTCTAGAACTTATTCTAATGCCACTTTGAGACTGAGTTAGGGTCTGCTACCTAAATGGAGAGCACATGGATAGAGAAGAAAAATTACATTGAGGAATATGTAACAGCCAAACCAGCATTTAAATATAAAATAATTTAAAGATTTATGTAAATATATGGGAAATAAAGAGCATTTAGAAGATAAGGCTATTGAAAATCCACTACATTTTGTAGTTTGGTATGCAGTTGTATTTCTGTACCATCTTTCGTGGAGGGAAATGTACAGCAGTCATCTTTCATTTATCCGTGCAAAGAAACTTGAAGCCATTACTTTTGTGCTTACTATATGTAATTTGCTAAAAACATAAAACCAAATGATTTGTGAATGACTGCCAAATATAGATTGGTTGACATTTCTTAGATATCTGGCACTCTACTTGGTCTTTATCTCTCTCTCTCTCTGTCTCTCTTTTTCTTTCTCTCTCTCTCTCTCATACACACACACACACACACACACACACACACACATTTAATTTGGTTTACTCTCAGTAACTCTCTCAGTTAAAATAAGCCACTTTTTTACAATTAAATCTTACAGACATGAAATAAGCTGGTCATAGTTAATGAATAGGTAATGGAACTAGCATTTGAGTTCAAGTCTTAGATCTGTGAGAGAAATGTTCCAATATTGTTGCTACATTGGATTTAGTAAATTGTTGGTGTAAGACAGCATTTAGTCTTACTTTGTAAGATTTATATAGCTTTTGTTCTTGCTTTATCAAGTAGCTATCCCAGAAATAGTTGTAAATTACTTAAGTCATTTAAATGAATAGGCTCTTTAGAATCTGTGTAATCTTATAGGAACCTGCTTCAAAAAGAAAGAAAAGTTTCTGTTTATCTTTCTATTTTTATTTTCATGGTAGAAGTTAAAAATTGGGATTTTTTCAGATACATTTTACATTTCAGAATTTTTTTCTTCCTAGCTGGCTGCAATAAAACTTGGTCGATATGGAGAAGATCTTCTATTCTATCTGTATTATATGAATGGAGGAGACGTATTACAACTTTTAGCTGCAGTAGAGCTGTATGTTCTAAGTATCTTTCTTATTTAAAGTTCTTCTAATAGATCTTCATTAATCTTAAAGTTATTTAGTAATGATGGCTACAGTTCTTTTAAAATGGAAGTATTACTTCATTGAAGATATAAATTTGGTTTTCACATTTAATGAAAACCATACTTTATAATGTCTTTGTTATCACAGTACATATAAAAAGAAACAATTTCATATTCAAGCCTAAAATTTTTAAGAAAACAAAATTAATTCGACTCATAGATTTGGTCACTGTTTTTGTAAATGTGTAAACTATAAACCTTAAAACCATGGTGTATGACTGTGATGCTTTCATCCCTGCTGAATAGTATAGCTTAATGAATTTCATCCTTTAATAAACGTTTGTTAAGTAATTATTAGGCAACATTGTGTACATATTTGTTTTATATTTTGAAGTTTGATAAAGTTTACCATCAGCAACCTGTTGACCAGTTGAAGTGAAAGTTTATAAAATTTGTCTGTTTCTCAGTTTTGTTTTGTTTTTTTTCACCTTATGCTTTAAAGATTAATAGTTTTGTGTTAAAAGTTCTCACATGTTTGGCTGGTAACCCAATTACTATGAGGACAATATAGTTAATTATTACTAAAACATAGTGGCTTTACAATTGGTAGACACTTTCTCATATTTATTAAGTACGTTACAGTATTTTATAAATGTTCTTAGATATTTAAAATGTAGAATTCAAAGTGTTGATAATGAATTATTTTTATTAAAAAGAATTTATTTATTCTGCCTCCTTTTTCTTTAAGAGAGAAACTGTTTCCAGTCTTATTATTAGAGAAAACACTTAAAAGATTTCCTAGTATCTACCCCCTCGCTGCCAACATATAGACTTAAAACTATTCCTAGGTTGTTAACTGTGGTTCACAAATAATGTAAATCCTAATTGATTTTTACGTGAGTTCTAATGGGTATCCTTTTAGCATTTAAGAATAATTGGAGTCTGTTTATTTTACCAAATAATTTTTATTAGGACTAATTTTCTGGAATACGTTTATCTTTATCTGATCTGCTTAAGTTTTTATTTCATTGCTTAAAGTTCTTAAGTTCTCACTTTGCATAAAATTTGTTTAATTAAATGTTTATATTTTAGTTAAACACACTTTTCTGAGATGATCGATTTCTTCCCTCTTCCTCTTATGAGACTTTAACAATAAAAGTCAGAATGTAAATAGAGAGTATCCATATTCATGTATAGTGTAAATACATTTAAAAAAAAAAGTCTTGCAAAACATGGGAAATACTTGTTGTGAGCCACAAACTTAATTATGTTCTTTTTTTAAAAAAAATTGAAGTTTTAACCGTGATTGGAGATACCACAAAGAAGAGCGAGTATGGATTACCAGGGCACCAGGCATGGAACCAACAATGAAAACCAATACATACGAAAGGGGAACATACTACTTCTTTGACTGTCTTAACTGGAGGAAAGTAGCTAAGGTACATTTGTGCAAATGTAAGATTGTATAAGACCTCTTTTTTAAGACTTTCCTTTTATCTGTTTTTAGGTATCAGTCCATCTCTTCCAGTAATGTGCCACTTACTTGATAAAACCTTTTGTCTTCATCTAATTGCTTGATTTTAACTCTAAGCAGATCTTCAAAAACAGTTCATTTCAGTAGTTGTTGGGAAAACAATTGAACTTGGTAAAGAGAATTTATAATTTTACACACACCTTGTTATCATTGTTGTTGTTGTTAAGTGCCATCGAGTCACAGGCAACTCATAGCGACCCTCTTAAGGAGAGTCCTCAATGCTTGGGTGTCTTTCATCCTCTCTCCAGGTTCATAGGGTTTCCAGAGGCAAGCTATTACGGAAGTGGATGCCACTCCTCCTTCCAAGCTTGTTTTAATGGGGAGCTCCACCCCACTCTCTGTTTGCATTGGGTAACCGATCATTAATACATTTGACACATCAGTGTCACAGTGTTCAGCCTCACAGCAACCACAAGTGACCAAGGTATGGCAACTTGTACACCAGGGCTATATGACCTAGAGGAATGTTTGAACAAAAACAATAAAAGACCTTCCCCCCTTGCTATTCCAATCATATATTCTTATGTTATTGTTACTTTGAAATTGGTATAAATATGTGAATTTTCTAAAAAAGCTGAAGGCATTTTTCATTCCACTAGTCACCCACTTGGTAATTCACTCTTTGGTGGTACATCAGAACTCTACCTGACCCTCCCTTTTGTTTTTGGGCCTGTAAATCACACAGGAAACATTGTCTGTGTTTCTTCCACAGAGCTTCAGGTGAATTTGAATTGCCTTTAGGTTAACAGGGCAAGTCTCCAGGTTAACCGGCAAGTCTACAGATTGCACATTCAGAGCTCCTTCAGAGTGATTTCAGGATACAAGCCTGTACTTTAATTTGCAAGCTGTTTATAGAAACAAAATTACACTCATGGACTATGACTCTTATTATGATTAAATAATGAGTTGTGGGGGAAAAGTCAGTTTTGTTTATTTACAAGTTTTCCTTTCAGAGACTTAGGGACAAGCAGGATCCTATCTACCTGATGAAGAACTTTAAGTACTCTAGTGCATAGTCACTTTCCAGTGCCTTATGTCTGCATTTAGTTCACCTAGAAGAGGATACACCCAAGCATTGAGAACTCTCCTTGATAGGGTTGGTATGAGTCACCTGCAACTTGATGGCACTTAACAACAACAACAGTAGAGAGGATATAACTTACATTATTTGATTTCACAACACCAGCATTTCCTTAAAGGCATATTTTACCGATGATTCTAGGGGATTAATAATTTTTTTTCTTTACTAATTTTCATATTTCATGATTTGTTTCTCTTAATATCAAAAGCAAAGTATCATCTAGTCATTTACCATGAAACAGACATATTTGTGTCAAAACAATGAGAACAAAATATGATTTTGAGTCATGAAACTTTGTTTCCATATGAAACGTTAAGGGTATTTCCTTATTCCATGTTTTATCTAGACTACTATTTTTTTCTTAAATTGGGAATTCAGGGAAAAATTGGCGAGTAAGCCAACATTTAAATGTTCTTGCAGGGTTGCCAAGGTAGACCTGTTTACCTATGAGTGTCAGCACTTAAAGCTGTCAGTCCTAAAGGGCCCTTTTTTTCAATTTTTCAGGAATTATTTTTATGAGATTTTTTTTTCTCTCTACATTAATATGCTTGGTTTTGATTTACACCAAGTTTATTAGAATATATTACATCTAATTAATATTTTTTGTTTTGGAATATTTCAGTAAATTGTTTACTTTCATATCACTGTGAAGACTTTGTTTTCTATTATTTTTCTTGTTTTCAGAAACTTCTGTCCATAACCATAAAAGGTAATGTTATTGTTGTTGATTGCCATCGAGTCGAGTGCGACTCATAGCAACTCTGTGAACAAAAGACCTAATGCCTTTCCATAACTATCATCATGCAAAGTTACGTAATAAAATTTTAAGACTGTGTATCTATCTCTTTAATCTCATGTGAAGGTCTTTTGATTGCATATGTGCATTTGGTTGATATCTGAATTCACATCTTAGGCTGTTCACATTAAAGAAAGATTTGAAGAGGTCTAAAGTGGTCTATTCAGGTCCCTTAATTAATCATCACTTATACATTCACGTGCTGTATAATGTACATTTGGGCCATTTTTGTCTACACAGACATCCTTGGTCCTAACTCCCATAAGGCCTACTTTTTAAAAAAAAAAATACTACAAACTATAAGATGGTTTGTTAGACCCTACTTTTTAGTGTACTTCAATCAAAACATTATTATAATTTCATTATTACCATGTTAATTATCTTAAAGCTGGTGTAGTATATCTGCAAATGTTTCTTTTAATGTATTTTTATGCATGGAAATGCACACCTAATACTAAAACATTTAACTAACTGGTATTACATACGAATTATACTAGCTATTCTCTGTGGAGAAATTTAACTTTAAGGTAGACTTAGAACAATTTATTCGTTATCTTGGGGCTGCTTCTATATAATAAGTATTTACAAACATCCATATCACAACCACATGTTTTCAAAGAATATCATCACGAACATCCAGTAACACATTCAGTGACTATACTTAATAAATGATTAAATGTTTTAAGTAAACACTATAGTTAGTTTTCTTTTTTTTAAGCAAAGAAAAGGAAAGATTTCTCCAAAATTGCTTGTTTAGATAATTTTTAGAGTTGTTAGTTTTGAAGGCTTTGGTCTTTTAATCATCTTTACTAGGGAGCTCTGGTGGCGTAGTGGTTAAGAAGCTGCTCTGCAGGCCCAAAGTTCAGATCCATTCACTGCTCTACTGGAGAAAGATGGACAGTTTCTCCATGTGATTAACTGGCCCTGAAAAAACCTGCTGGAGGGTCAGATATGGGTCAGTTCTGACTCGAGGACACACCACAACAACAATCATTTTTCTAAATTGATAAAATTAAACTATTTTAAAACACTGTAAAATGCTTGCCAGACATTTTCCACAGAAGACTTAGACATAATGAAGATTTCATACTCCATACTTTAAAGAAAAAAATGAAGAAAACTAGAGCCTAATAAAAGACACTGAAAAAACACGACCATTGCCATCAAGACAATTGAAATTCATAGTAACCCAATAGAACATAGTAGAACTGCCTCGCTCATCCAGCTTCTGAGGTTTTAATACTCCCAAAAATAGACTTCCACATTTTTTTCACACTGGTGGCTTTTAGCTACCACATTAGGTTGCCTCCAAATCCTGTAACCACTCTGCCACGAAGGCTTCTTAAAAGACTCTCAAAAGAGGTTAAACAACTTTTAATTATTTTTTTTTAGATATTCCTTAGTGGTAAATGTAGTTACTTCTCAGATCAAGTTCAAGTACTATATACTAAATGAGCCACTGTAATTGAAATTATTTTGGTTTGATAGATTCTTTTAGTTACATAGAAATAATTAATATGAATTACAGTTAATACATGAGCTATTATTACTTTAAGAAGGATAATGTAGTTAGCTTTGGTGATCTCCAGCTGATTTTTTAGAGGCAATTAATAGCAGGAGGTGATTGCCCATTTTCTTGCCCATAGAGCAGCTGATAGATTCCAAGCACATGCCTTTGATTTTGCAGTGTAACACCTTACCCAGTAGGCCATAGCCATAGAATTTACCTCCTGTTTCTACATTTAATGCTTTTTTAAATTGGGCAAATAACTTTCCATATCTTTTTCATAATTTATAAAATTGATATGGTATTTGTCTATAGAATTAAGATTATACACACATCCTGTACATATATACTGAACTCAGAGCTATGTACTAATTCATACTCAGTATGTGGGAATGATTACGCTAGTTTGTTGCTCTTGTTATCCTCATTGTTGTTATTGCACCTTTCCTGTTCTTCCAAAGATGGAAAAATTGAATCTGATTGTTACTAGGTTAGTTAAATCGTTTTCAAACTTAGTTTGCATTAGGATTACTGTAAGGTTTTAACACTATTTTGGGACCTGCTGCTAATAATTGTGATTTAGTAAATCTTGGAATCCATGGCCTGAGGGAAAAAAAGGTTCCATATGACAGTGATATAATAGTACTGGTCTTTTTCTAGAGGCATGCTTTAATCAATGACTTCATCTTACTTGATACCAACAGTCAAGAGATTAGGAGACATATTGCACTGGGGGAGTTTGTAGTCAAGGACCTCTCCAAATTATTGAGAAGCAGTCATATCAATTTGAGAATAAAGTTGCGCTTGTTTCAAGGCATGGTCTTTCCAGTCATTTTGCTGTGCATCTGAGAAGTGGGCAGTAAATAAGCATGATAGAAGAATTGATGCCTTTGAACTGTGGATATTGGAGAAGAGTACTGTATGAACTGCCAAAAGAACAAACATATCTTTGAGAAGGTACAGCCAGAATGATCCTTGGAGGCAAAGAGGATAAAGCTTCATCTCACATACTTTATAAACTTGTTGCTAGGAGAGGCTTGTTTCTTAATGAGGAACATCATGCATGAAACATGAAGGGATAGCAGAAGAGAGTAAGACCCTCAACCAGGTAGATTGACACAGTGTCTGCAACAATGAACTTGGATGTATCAGAGATTGTGAGGATGGCACAGGATAGGTCAGGGTTTGGATCTGTAGTTCATAGTGTTCCCGTGAGTTCTCCTCAACTCAGTGGTACCTAACAACAACAGCAACAAACACCATTTAGATTGTGTGGGGAAAATTTCCTTTGATAAGAAAATAAGTAACTAGATTTTTCTCCATACTAGTTGACTAAACTGTATTTTTGTTGACTGTCATTGTAATTTATTCCTATCCTATGTATATGTTGTAGTTATGTGCCATCGAATTGCCTGTGACTTATAGCGACCCTGTGTACAACAACCCTAAACCCTGCCCTATCCTGTGTGAATCTTAATTGGCTCTGACACACCTACCCCTATTACCCCAGTCACTGAATCA